CTTCCATAAAAATTATTGCCTCTAATCAAGTGAACCGGACTGTATGTATTTGCAAACACAAATATGGAAATCTGGTAGCAGACGTCCAAAGTGCACTTAATATATAGAGGTACGGTTTTGAATGGGCACAAAGGTGGCACGTTTGACAAAGAAAACCCCAAACCAATTTACCGGTATAAAGCACACGTCCCTCCAATCGAACAGAACGAGGTNATAAGCCCCAAGGTGTGGTGTGATTTTTAAAACACTAATATCAGTCTCCGACTGTCACTCATATTGAGCGGTTCAATCTCTCTCGTTTGTGTGCCTTCCGACCTATCCGCTGTCTGTGTGAAAAAACACGTGCAATTTAATCGTCATTTAATTTCATTGACGTTCTTACTATTTTTTTTTAATCCAGTGTAAATAACAAGCACAAACAAAAACTCACTTTAAAATAAGTGAAGCCATCATGGCCCCCGGGCCACCCCTTATAGGCGCTAATCGGTATGCACTGCTTGCCGATAGTACAACAATCAAAAAAGAAAAATCAAAGACAAAAAGAAAAAAACATCATTTTGTGCCAACATTGATAGTTTTCCCGAACTCCCAACTACAAAAAAAGCCAATCCAAAATTCATTGTTTTTGAGTCAGCCGACAAAAATAAACCACTTTCACAATATTCTTGTTTCGCAGTCCATAAATCCATCCGTGCTGTAAGTAAAGAATTTCAATCAGTGTCCGAACTACGCGACGGTAACATTCTTTTACTTGTGAACAACAAAAGCATAGCTGGAAAATTTCTTGCACTTAAAGAACTCCCTGGCATATGCAGAATAAACGTTAAATACCATGAGAACCTTAATTTCAGCAAAGGAACTGTATACGCTCCTTTCTTAAACAATGTTCCAGAGGAAGAAATAGTGAGTGAGCTCAACTCCCAAGGAGTTGTGGCAGTCCACAAGTTCCAAAAGAAAATAAACAGTGGAAATCTGCATCCAACTGGTGTAGTTTTGTTAACGTTCGACCTTTTTCATATCCCGGAAAAAATGGACATCGCTTGGCGAAATGTACGAGTCAGACAATACGTCCCAAATCCCATGCGCTGCAAAAGCTGTCAGTTGCTCGGGCACACCACCAAATTTTGCAAACGCTCTCCAGCTTGTGAGAATTGTAACTTCCCACCCCACTCCCCTGAGGCATGCAAACGCACCTTTTGTGCGAATTGTTTCTCTGACCATCCTTCTTCCTCCAACACGTGTCCGAAATTTATTCAAGCAAAAGAAACCTTAAAAATAATAAATAACTCAAAAATGCACCATGCGAGAAGCAGTAAGAATACAAAAAGCAACTACCT